TTAAAAAAAAAAAAAAAAGGAGGTTCTTTTTAAAAAAATAATTTTTGGTAGCTTGTGTTGGAAGCAAATAACTTTTGAAATAAATTTAGGCACAGTCTGGTAAAGTAGCTGCCAGAATGAGTGGAAGGTGGTCTCTCACTTGTCTCGCATGAGAACCATTTCTGTCAGGTGCACCAGGGCCTCTCTCTCGGGGGACGGCCGCAGCTTGCGGATCTCGCGCGTGGCGGCGTGGCAGTAGCGCTGGGCGAGGTAGGTCGTTTGCTGCACACCATCACTCTGAGGGAAGGAGACGGAGAGAAAATGAATGATCAGCCTCCTCCTGCCTTCTGCCTCTTCCAGTCACAGGAGGAAGTTTTAATGACAGTAAGTACCCTAATACATTATAGTCCAACAGGGAAAGGAAGAGGATTCATTGTGTAATCAGGAAAGGCCACCTACCTGCCCCAAACTGTCAAAGTACTGAAACTCATCCAGGCTAAAACAGCAACTCCTCCATTACAAAACAGCACTGGTATTAATAACAAAGTAGAAACTAATGGTTTATCCCTTCCCCTCCTGCCCTAAATAGATATGTACAAAACCCCCATGCTATTCTGAAAAATAGGTAATAATTTTGCACAGACCAGTATTCAGTCTTTTTAGACCAGAGTAATTTAAAACTGGTATAGGGTGTGCACTGCAGTTACAAGACTGACTGGAAATTACATGACACTTATACCAGCTGCTGAATACAGCTATATCTCAGCTGGAGGAACCGAGTTCATGCATGAGCTTTTTACTTTTTATGTGGATTTTATGCTGTTGGAGGGGAAAAAAAAAAATAAGTTCTTCAATACCTAGCATTTCTGCTAAAATACTGTGCCAGTAGGAGAGCTGAGGAGTTCTGACTTGGCATTGTACGTTGCATGCTACTCAGCAGGTATTTACCAATGCAGCCCTGCTATTTTACTTGGGAGGCAATGAATTTCAGACTGAGCAGCAGGGACAGCAGAAATATTTGGTATCAGTCTTACCTGCAACACGTATTTCCATGCACGTTCAACATCTCCTGGCTTACTGAATCTCCTCATTATCATAGCATTCATTTCTGGAAACTAAGCACAAAGGGAGAAGGGTTTGTACTTGCTTTTGAGTTGTTTTCCATGTAGGTGCCTGCTGTGCTAAGGTCAGAACACCACCAAAGTGCAGCCTTCTTCCCCTGTCACTGTTGTTGTTACAGGTATAGCTTTAGGCTTGTACTTGCAGTCTGCACAGGACTACAGTATAGCAGAGCCCTAGCATTTAAAACTTAACCTGGCTCTGCTAGCTGTAGCCAGTTGGTAGCAGAAGTCAGCACCTGCCATTTTATCACGTTAAGCAGATGTTCCAGTGTGGTAACTTCTGATGTGGCTACTGCCTGGTGTATAACCTGCATCAGATATTCTGGCACAGATGATGGTTAATGTTGGCACTCCTAAATGAAGCACCTCTGCCCCCACACGTACAGAGGAACTCAGAATGTTTGTTATTGCGATATTGTACAGTTCAACTTGTAAAATCCCCTCGTGGTAACACTGGCTGTTGCATTCTCTTGCATTTTCCATTGTGCTAGTATTTTATATATACACAGATTTTTTTTTAAATAAGAGAAGAATGGTGACTATAAAGTATTTTGTTTTAGAGTCAAACAAAGATGATTTTATTGCCATATACTTGTAAACAATGTTCTGCTTTCCTTGAACACCTTTCCTGCAACTGTAGCTTTATAAGCACGTTCAGGTACAAACATGTAGCACCCATCAGTGCTGTGGCATTGTCCTATTACTCATAGGCCTTAAGAGATGCATTCAGAAGCTCAGTGATGACTCATACTTTATCTAAAAGAAGAAAGTCATGGCCTTTTCTAGATCCTAGCTTCCTTCCCAGGTAATGACAATTTAATTGTAGTGTTCATACAATCAGTTTTCACATTATTCATATTTACAGTTATATAGGATGCATATGGGATCACTTTTTATATTTAAGCACTAAAGGACATGAAAATGCCCAAACTTGTAAGGCAGAGCTGTTATTAGCAATTTTGCATATTTAGTGGGCAGCACATCACTATTTAATAGGAATGCTTTTAATAAAAATAAACCTTCATTCTTCAGCTGTACTCGTTTAAGAGGCACTTTAGAACTAACATACACTAGTGTATTTCCTTAAAAAATAAATGGGGTGTTGTTTTTTTTACTGAGAGAGCTAACTTTAAACACTGAATAAATAGGTACTATAGCAAGGTAAACATTTTCTTCTTCTTAATATTCTAATGCACAAAGGTGTATTTCAGAGGGAGGGGAAAGGATAGAAGAAAAGGCATCTGTCACTGAAGATCCAGAGCACATTAAAAACTTAACAAATGTTTGTCAGGAAGACAATTCCAGGAGTACCAGCTACATGAAAGGATAGCAGCAATACTAATCTGAAAAGACAGCCTATGATTAATAATTACACTTTGGACTGTCTTCAAGTCCTGGGTCGTGCATTTTTTTCTCAGACACAAATATATGAAATGTCTTTTATTAGCATCAGAAGTGTCTGTTGGAGCTCCACATTTTTAGCACTCATGCTTTGTTTATGTATCAGTTAAGTCTGTAGTGCTGTTCTTCCAGTGTCTTGAAAACAGCAGGACATTTACAGCAAAGAAGCCTTCTGGTTAATGCAGAAAACTTTATAAGATGGTCATTATCTCTCAAGGCAAAAATGTACACTTCCCATCTATCAAAGATATAAATGAGGAAAAGCATTTAAAAGTGGCCTACAAAGAACAAGATTTTAAAATAGGACTTACAGATTTTTTTATTTCTATATTATGAACTAATTTATCTTGTAAAGCTAATTAAAAGATGGATGAAGTTCAAAGTCAGAGAGACAACCCAAACAAATTAGTAATTAATAGTTTTAATTTAAAAATTGGAATATTCAACACCCACAAGACAATCAATGTCACCCATTCTCTGCCAAAACCTGGGTATTTGCAACCTGCCTTGTTTCCTTCTACACATGGCTTTATCACACACAAAAACAGTTTTACAGCTCCATTCTCCATCTCTACCTGAGTGCCTCACTGTTCTTTGGACAGCTCCAATTGCTGATGACACAATTCTGAAATTATGATTCGAGAACATGTTTGTGAATCCCCCAGATGAGTATGGGGAGACACTGAGGACACAGAGAAAGTTGTTCTCAATATGCATTAATCTACTTTGTCAGGTGGCTGGTACTCTGTGCTCCTGTCCTTTCTGAGATACAGATCCTTGTGAATGCCCAAAGGATAAGGAAGCAAACAGATGTGTATGCTCCACCTCCCCCCACAACAGGATCTTTTAGAAAGGGAAGTAAATGTCAAAATGGTTGGGTTTTTTAAAAATTATTTAAACCTTTTCCCATGTCAAGCTCTAAGCAATTCCATCGAGAGCTCATAGACGAGAGCTCTGCTGGAACTAATTGTGCCAGTTTTTGTATCACACTGTGAAGCCTGGTAGGAAGGACTGCTTTTTAAGTCCCAAATCTGCTTGCCTCTGGTGAACAAGACACTGGAGCAAGGAATTAAAATAGTTTCTTTCCTGTTTATGGATTAGCATCAATTTTAATGTTTTTTCCATGCTATTCACACTTCTGTTTTCATTTTGCTCCTCCAAATAATTTTTAAGGTACTGAAAATCTTGACCAATTTTAAGCTTGTTTTATTTATGACACTCCCTTTTATCCAACCTTCAGACAGGAAACCTGCTCATGTTTGTAAATGGATAAGACTTGAGGACAAAGAGATGAAAAGATCAAATCTAATAAATAAAGGTACCCACCTAAAGGCAAGGCAGAGGTTTCAATTCTTGGCCCCAGATGGATAGAAAGCCCAAAACAAGACAAAAAAGCCTACATGCACAGTCAAGCCTGGGAAGAAGATGTCTCAGGAGAAAACACAACCAAGAAGCTACTTAGGAATAACCTACACAAAATGTGCTAAAGCTCTCTGAATACCTACAAGAGCCTAACAGTAAGTAGAGTTGTGCAGGAAGGTGTTTCTCATAACTTGTGTGTGCACAGAATCCATCTGATATTGAACACACTGATTTGTCACATGTGCCCAGGCCACTCTCATCACTGACACTGGAGATTTGATGTGTTTCAGCTGGTGCTGTGAGGAGTAGCTTATACTTTTTATTTTGAGCAAACAGCTTCCTGCTGGCTTACCTGTCGACAAGCAAATAAGACAGGGCCTGTGGCTAATCCAAGCTTGAGATCTGCTGCTGTTGGTTTCCCCAGATGGTCAGCACACGATGTAAAATCCAGCACATCATCTATCAACTAATAAAATAGTAGACATACAGATAATTTAAAATTTCTTTTTTAAGTATTAGAGCTAAATCAGAATAATCAGCTAAAACAGAATAATCCTTGTTAAAGACAAGATTTCTAGGAAGGATTAAGACAGACACTTTGATTTCTAAAGCACTTTGGAGAAGTTTAGATTTTAGACTCCATTTAGTTCAACAAAAACACTACCTGAAAAGCTATGCCAACGTTTTTTCCATACTGGTATGCAATCTCATGAACTTTTGGATCAGGGCAGCCTAAAATTGAAACCTGAAAAGATAAAAACCCCAAGTAAATAGAAAGCTTTAGTTAGCATCCACTTTTAGTCCCTGACCATAGGTGTGACAGAGCCAGCACAGGCTAGAGGGATCTGGGAAAGGCAAAAAAAAAGCAGACTCAGGCACATTCTGGCTTATCTCAGTTCATGGAGACACACAATTAGCCAACCTTACTAGAAAACAAGGCTGAACAGCAGTGCAGTATTAAAACTACATTCACATCTGCAAAGAGATTAGCTTCATTAAATATTTATCAGGCTTAGAAATAGCCATGCAAGGATAAAGAGAGAAGAAATGTGGATGCACCTCACATGCAGGGTGGTAGTCATATGCAGTCCAGTGATGGGGAAATTAAACTAATTACATACATAAAGCAGCCAGGGGATAATTGGAGGTCAGACAACAGATAAATTGACATTAAATGTCTCATGAAAGATCACAAAGCTGGATATGTAGAACCATAGGGGCAGTTGACATAAGGATGATTATTTTTAAGGTGATGTTAACTGTATCTGACTTGCTCAGGAAGATGACTTGATTAGCTTGCAGGCAAAGGTACTGAGGGATAATTAGTGGCAAAGAAAAGACAGCAAATGAAGAAAGCACACCCAAGCTCACAAAAGTATCACTAAACTGAGATAAACAAAACATTTTACTACTTGGGAGACAGAAATTTTGCTGAATAAACTCCACAAAACTAAAATACAGGATATTCACTAAGGTTTGAAAATTAATATCTTGCCTCAAAGTAAGGGCATTTTTGCATTTATGTACTGATTATACATTTTGCAAAATGAGGTTGGTTAAATACTCAAATTTATTTCAACCTTCAATAAACCAATTAGAACAGTGGACAAAAATCCACCCTGGTTTATTGCAGGCATTCCAAATCTGTTGTGACCAATGCAAGGTGTGAAGATAAATTTTATTTAAGACTAAAAATATATTCTAGGAAAACACAATATAAAAACAAGTATGTGTGTGTGTCTGTTTGTGTACATATGTATATGCATTCCTCTTTAAGATTGTGTAAGCTAGGATCGTAAAAAAACCCCTCCAACCCCAAAACCAACCCCAAACTAAAAGCAAGTCCAGCAGTAGCTTTGAAAGTGAACATGAAGATGGAAATAAGAAACAACATTATATCCTAATAAATGTGATGAAACTTGCATAAAATGAGAGATGATTTCATGCAGCAGTGCACTTCCTATCTGAGCATCAGAATACTTCCCAGTCATAACCTGCATCTGTAGATAATAACTAAACCCCACAGGAATCTGGATAACTGAGAAATTTGCAGCATCATGCATTCTCCACATTTATTTAAAAGAGGAAGACAGTATAGCAGGAAAATAATCTCTAATAATCCTACAGAGTCTGAAGGCTATTGAACAGAGTGAACTGCAAATACGAGATATTTAAATAGATGTTGCTAGGGACTATAAAAGTACAACATTTTGCCTTTTTATCCTCCTTTTGATGTTTGTTTCTTAAATAGCAGTATTTGTCCAAAGACCTAATATCTATTGCTGTACCATGCAAACTTTTGGTTGCTTCTGTAATATAAATCACATAACACCAGCACGGCAGGGGGACTGCATCCACCCTGTTCTAATGAAATTCTTACCTACCTCCACATTTTATTCCATGTGGAGGATTAAAACACAGAATTCAGTGGCAAAATCCTGGTTAATGGCAAAGGGAGTAGCTGGCAGAGGGTGGGAGGAAGTGCTGTATAAAGAAAAGAGCTTCCTCATTTAACCTGAAAGGTCAGTTCTTGTTCACAGACAAAAACAAAATTAAAAATTCAGGAGATTTGTTTTGCCAGTCATCCTCAAGTGAGCAACCCTCTGACCACGACCACATAATAAACCTGCGATTGTGCTGTGTCTATCAGGGAGTTCCTTCAGGATGCAATTTCTCAAACTGCTCTTGTAGATTGTTGCCCCCAGCTGGACGCTGGCCGGGCTGCAGCCAGGCAGCCTGTCACTCCCATATGGAGTTTAACTGGAGCTGTGCTGGGATGTTCTGGGATAATACCCACATTTGCAAATACAAGTCAGGATAACCAAGTCAATAGTCAATACAGTGATGTGTGTTTAAATTATAAAACTCCCCCTCTGAAAACAGCCTAAAGCTCCCCAAATAGGTATGATTCATGACAAATTTAATCCTGCTAGAATTCAGGCCTGTCCTCCACTAAATCAAGATGAAAAATCCTTCCTAATACCAAATGGAACAAATTCTTTTGAAAAGTTCTTTGAATCCAGCAAAGGAAGACAATCTCCTTGGTGTTATTTCAAACACACTTTTTGCAATAAAAAAGTTGTTTCTGTTATGTTTCTGAGAGACTATAAACCAATTTTGCCTCTTTACTGGATTTCCCATCCATAAAATACATTATCAGCTCTGGTAGATAGATCCTGCTCTGATATTTAATATGTGGCAATATAGCAGCTGGAGTTGAAAGCATTTGCACATCTCTACCAGTGCTCTGTAGGTCAAAGAGGAAAACCCACTGCTGGGCCAGAATATTGTTGAATAAACATTACAAGAGATGTTTGTTCTTGTAGTCCTAGATTTGTGGACTCCATGGAAAGAAAAAGGCTGTAAAATCTCCCCCTTTTCCAGCCATTCTCCTCCACGCCCATCTCCAGAAGTAAGGCTACTGCCTTCTCATTCCTGGCTCACCCACCACTGTTTTTCTAGACAGAAGTGTTCCTCTTTCCAGGAGAATCATAGAATAGTTTAAGTTGGAAGGAAACTCTGAAAGTCATCAGCTCAAAGGAGAGCTTACTTCACAGTTCAATCAGGTTTCTCAGAGCTGCATCCAGTTGATTTCTGAGTATCTCCAAGGATGTAAAATCTCAAACTCTGTCTCAGCTACTTGTTGCAATGTTTGACCAACCTCATAGAGAAATTTTTCCTCAAACCTAATTGAACTTTTCCACAGTACAACTGGTCCTTTCACTACACATTTCTCCATCCTCTCTATGCCCTCCAATTACAAGGTGGAGACAGCAGGAAGATTCCCCCTTTGTCTTCCCTACTCCAGACTCAAACCAGCTCTTGGCACATCATTTGCTCCAACCTCTGCCCTCAGGGTGGCCCTTCACTGAACTGCCTGCAGAGTGCCCATGGGTGTCCTGTATGTGGTCTCACAGCCACTGCCCTGGATGTGCTGCTGCACTGGCAGTGATGCCCCCTCCCCATGCTTGTCCTCCACTGCTGCCAGGAGTGCCACCGACTTCTCCAGGCTCCTCAAACCCTCCTGGGAACTACTCTTGAGGAAGGGGTGATGGAGGGAGATGTCTTGACTCAAGACAAGGCAGACAACTATCTTGTCCTGAGTCTACATTTTCATGCATTTGACCTTTCTCATGTGATTAATATTTTAACAGGTTAATCAAGTACTTATATATGTAGACTTGTACTTTTCAGTAGCAAAGATTATCTCCCTGAATATACGTGATAAATCTTTTTCACAGCACAAGAAATACCCCCAAAGGATTTACTGTATTTTAAATAGTAAGTAAGGAGATTTAGTAGCTGACCATAATATCTGATAGTGCTGTGCTATTACCCTACATCTGCCATTGGACATTATTGCAGCCTGCAGGTCTAGTTGGTTTAGGGGGATTCAGTTCTGCTGGTGGGGGTCAGAGGTCTTACTCTCCCAGGCACCAGTTCCACATGCTGGTAGGGTTTTCTGATGGAGCCCTGTGCACACACCAAACTAGGAACTGGCTAGAGCAGGAGCTCACAGGAAGCTCTTCAGACTACTGGCTTCTTCAGTCCCCTCCACAGCCCTGCCTTACACAAGGAGGCACAAGCGTCCTCTCAATATGGAAATCAAGAACCTCTAGTGCACCCTTACACTCAAAGCAAGCACAATTTAATCCCTCATCTGAAAGTATACTATGCAAAATATAAACAGCTTTATGAGGCTCAGGAATTCAATTACAGCAGGGTTTAAAAAAGAGAGAAAACCTGCTCAGGTTATTTTGCTATCTCCAGCTGGCCTCCAGCTGATGACTAAACAGAAATTCCACTTGAGCTTTATTGTTTCTGAATTCTTGAACTGAAGTCACCTCATGTTTCTCTGAAAAATGCCTTGCAGTAACTAAGGCTTCAATGACTCTGGGCCATCTGCCACTGCTTCCTTTTAAATACACTTTGATTAAAACTTTGGTAACATTCCCCCATGCAGAACTATTGTAGAAAAACTGGAGACTTGGATGGCTCTTAACATCTTGAAGAGACTGTTCTCTCCCTAAGTCCTAACTTAAAGAATTTTGATTTAAATGCAGTAATGCTTTGGTGGTACAGAATGTATCGATTACAGTGTATGTCTTGTTTAGAGGAGTATTGTATTCCTTTTTGCAAGAATACTCTTCCATGTCTAAAGCATGGCACTGTGAAATAAGGTGCCACCTGAACTTGTCTACTATCTTCTTTCCAGTTAATACTTGTATTTTATTCAACCACAGCAACAAATCAGGTTTTCCTATCATTAACAGGAACAGAACTGCTTCTAAAACCCAGAGTCTCTCCTCTTAGTTTTGTCCCTGAAAACTAAATATGAATATTCTTGATTCCCTAACTGAATTTCCTTTCAAGACAGAACTGATGATCCTGCTTACCATTTTTGCTACAGAAAACAGAACTCCCTTCTGATTTCATTTCTTAGTAGCCAAAGCAATCAAAATGAAAATATCTCAACACCCACATGCAACCAAAAAAACCCCCCAAACCCCCCCCCCAAAAAAAAAAAAGAAAAAAAATCCCCTTTAACTGCTATCAATAGAGCTCTCCTAATCCATGCAGAAAGAAACTGAACGAAATATACATATTCAACTCACTGGTACTATGTGCAGCAATAAGGATTTGCCATGAAGAGAGATCTTCTCTCTTGATTTTCCTTTCTAACACAAATTTTACAGCATATAAAATTCCAGCAATTCAGCAATGGAACAACTCAGACCAGCCACTAGAAGAAAAGCAGCCAAACGCCCCCTTGACCAGGATCATAGCCTCAGTCTTGAGGGAAGTGCTTAAATCCTTAATTCTTGCAAGTCATGAAAAGGAAAAAGCTTAAATTAGCACATTTGCAGGGAGAATCTACCCAGTGCGAATGTGAGTTCTTCCTTCTGCAAAGATTCCTCTAGGCAGACTGTCAAAATGAATATTAAAACTTGGGTATGTTTTTTCTGAGGTAGCAGAATAATGTGATGCTCTTTACTAGTCCAGATGCCTACTGATATAAAACAAGATTTGCAAAAGAAAATTGTCAGGGTCATACTGCCATTAATATGAGTGATAATCCAGCAGACTTAATTTTTTCCTCCAACTAGAATAAAAGGTATTTTCCTTCCCCTGAAATCCATGTGTCTCATTCTATGTAATCATTTTGATAAAAGCAATTTTCAACTGCTGTCTGTTGCACGAATGCACCAGTTCCCTGAAAACAAAGGAAGATGATTAACACTAGCACTAACACTTGTTTCCTCCCACTGTTACTACTTAAGGTCTCACTCAGCACCAAGAGTAGGGCCACACGTCAAAGAAGATTTAAAATCAAATTATAGGCTCAAAGTGATCAACCAAGTTTAAAACCACTGTCTCAAAGTTCCAGAATTTCATCAATTGATGATTGCCACTGTTATTGTTGTTTGAACCTTATTTTGATTCTATTGAGAATAACAATAAATCTGTGTATAAATAAAAAACTGAAAGAAAAAGTGAAAACCAATATTGGAGGCTACACAGCTGAACTGTGATAAAATTCACAGACTTAAACCCATTCTCATTCTGGCAGAATACCATTTCAAGGTTTTGCTTTGGAGGGTCTCCAGAGCATACAGCAACACTAGTTGAGCTGTGAAGCTTACAGTATGGTATGTTAACTTCAGAAGAGACAGACGTACATACTGCTTTACAACTGTTTGCTATCAGACTCGCTGTCTTCTTAAAAGTCTTCTCGAGGTAGTGAGCAAATCTCTCATTCTCGTTTTCCTTGGAACCCAGCTGGAGGAATTCACCTAAAAAGTTGCACAGATGGGAGGTTTTATTTGTGTGTTTACAGCTTAGGCAAGCAAATGGGAAAATAAAAATAGGAAAAAACCTTACCACGCACCAGATCTTCAATCACCTGAGTTAGAACAGAGACGATAGTGGTATTTCCAATTCGTGCTAAAGCTACAGAAGCAGCTGAGAGGATGAAGTCGCCAGCTAGAACAGCCTAACAACAACAACAACAACAAAAAGGTGATCCCCAAAGTCTTTTCCTGTGTTACTACAGACTATACAACTCCCTTTATTTGTCAGATCTACACATATTACATAACTTTCCTACATAAAGCACAAATATCTCATTTTAAGAACAAAAACAACACATAACCAAATATTGAAATCTGAGTAATTTTTGAATCCCTATCATATAGTACTGGTTATATTTTTCTGTATAAGCACTGTCTCCCCTGTATGCAATATGTGTTTGTTCATGAAGTTTTTTTGAACATTAGTTTTCTATTTGAACATTAGTTCTCTATTAGTTCTCTCTCTTGTGACTGTTACACAATGTGAACTCTGAATTGCTCCAAGTTCCTTCCTTGCATTTTCTGGTGAAGACCTTTCTTGTAATGCTCTGTGAAGAAAACACCAATTAAAAAAAATTTCCCACAGACTGAAAACATTTTTGTGTTCACCACTGAATCAGCATTCAGGCACAGGTTTAAAGTACTTCAACAGCACTGCAAGAGTTCTCTGCTGTTGTGCAGAGGGAATGCAAAATCAGTAATAATCACAGAATGGGCCAGGTTGGAAGGGGCCACAGTCATCTGGTCCAACCTCCCTGCTCAAGCAGGGTCATCCCAGAGCACATGGCACAGGATTGTATAAATATGATTCTTGAATCTCTCCAGTGAGGGAGACACCAAAGCTTCTCTGGGCAATCTGTTCACATTCAGATGAAACTTCTGTGCATCAGTTTTTGTCCTCTGCCTCTTGTCCTATTACTTGAGAAGAGCCTGGATCCATCTTCCTGACACTGCTTTCAGACACTTATGATGAAGGCCCCTCTCAGTTGTCTCTTCTGGAGGCTGAACAGGCCCAACACTAACACACTTCAACCATTCATTATCTAATGCTTCCAACACTTCAGTAAAGGAAAACACATTTGTCTCACCCACAAAGTGAGCACACCTCTTCATATGTTTTCTGACATATTCCAAAACCTAGCTATAATAACGTTACAAACCTCTAAGTATTTGTGCTCTACTGAAATTCAAAGGCAAGTCTTGCACGTATTAGCAAACTCACTTTCCTCTCCCCCCAGATTTGATTAAGTGTCCTTTTTCCTCTGCGAGAATTTGCATCATCAATAACATCATCATGAACTAGACTGGCTGTATGGATCATCTCAGCAATTATGGCCACAGAGCGCTGGCTTGCCTGCACCTCCCTAAAATGAAAAAAACAAGAACTGTCAAATAATTAAATCAATTACATATCCTGCAATACACTACAAAATCTCTATCAAAAAACAAATAAAAAATGATCCTCTAAAAACAGCTGTCACAGCTTTTTCCTGGTCTGACCCCTTCTTTCAAACCTGGAATTAGGAAGACAAGATGAAGTAAGATCATATTAGTACAGTAAGTGCAAAGGGATGAGTCTGTTCTCATTAGGCCTATTTCTACATTGCTGGATAAGCAGTACTGCAAAACTCCTGTATTATTGACTTTACTCCCTCTAAATCCAGGCTGCAATAAATAGCAACAGCACCAAGGATGCTTGGCTCCAAGACTGAAGTCTGGAAAACAGCAGAGAAAAGAATGCCAGGTAGCTTTGCAGTTGAGTTTTAAGTTTTCCTTATCTCTGTTGCTCTACCTATAATAAACTTGTTTGTGGCATCAAAAACTCTCTACAGCTGGATGACTCTACTCCAGTGAGCTGGAGAGATCAGAAGAAACATAAACCTGCATTCTACATTTAAAAGACATAATTCATAGATCTTATCTTTATCTTACCTGATTACCTTAAAACCCCAGAGGTTCTTCAGAAACATGAGGAATTAACTAGAATTCTACTGCAACTGCTTTAGGACTGTAAACACCAACTATCTAACACTTATTGGAACTCAGCCTTTGGGAAGATCTAACACTGATGATTCAACTCTCAGTAGGTCACACTACATTTTTTTAAAAAAACTAGGTGAAAAGAAAGTAAAGTAAGAACACAGAAGCAATTATCTAGAGAAAAAAACTGTCAAAAAACACATAAAAGAGCCAACCTAGCTCACACAAAGGACCCTTAAGTATCCAGCTTCCACTGTCATCTCCTGGTATTTTTCTGTTTTCATCATGGGTTACATGCAGGATCCCAGAAATGGCTATCCCAGTCAGCCTTGCCTCATAGGTGTAACAAGTCCACATGAACATTTAAAATACCCCACACACAAAACAGTAACACAAAAAACCCAAAACCCACAACACAAAAAAGAAACTACTTCTGATATATAAATACTGTACTTCTGGTATACAGACAACAGAGAAAATCATACTATTTTACAGAAATACAGAAAGAGAAACAGAAGATAATTTCAGCTCAGCTAAGGGAATTTAAAACTTTCCTGCACTGCCTATGTCCTTTAAAATGTAGTGACTAATCATAAAATGAAAGAACATATTGCAGTCTGCTGACATAACACTGCATTCTGACACCTACCTCAATACAGAATTCTGCACTGCTGTCAGTGGGAGTTCTACATCCTGAACAATAGCAGGATGAATGGGTAGCACATAGGCTGTGAAAATATGGCTTTTACACAACAGAAAATAAGAGCTGGAAACCTTCATGGTTGTTTGGAGGCAAGTCTTAATGTGGACTAGTGATTTAATCAAATGCTAGTTCAGTGTAAATAGTTTTCCACAACAAACTACTCTTACTAAGTAGGAGAAAACTTACCTTCAAAAAACTGTAAAGATCTCCAGCCTCTTTCATGCACTGTTCTCCTTTTGGGGATTCCCTTTTTCATTAATTATGTCAGCAGACTGGACTTCCTGCTCAGAAGCAGCAGTAAATGTCAACACTCACTAACACACTGAAATATTTCAGTAGTATGAAGACAGAATAAAACCAGTTACTTCAAAAGCTGGTTCATAAGAGTTCTGCATTATACTCTATCTTATCTCTGACAATGACTAAAAATGGCATAGGAATGTTCATGGTTCATGGTTTCCAGACTGTTGTATCAAATGTGACAATTTAATCTGAAGGAGTTTTTAAACTATTATTTCCACAAAGTCTCAAGCAAGGTTCCTCCCACTGCTGGCAAAAAAAAGTTCTGCAGTAGTTTCATACATGCATCTTGTGAGACTAATTCTAGATCAGAGCATGCCTACTTTTAGGGGAAAAGACAAAAAGCCCAGGATCCTTCTCATCCCCTGCAATTTTTCATTCAGCTTCTCCTGCAAAACAAAAGTAAAAAGTGGCAGTAACTCAATAGATAACAGATCCCTGCAAATCCAGTGAGTGGAAAGATGCCATTTTTAGGTCATTCCCAAAGTAAAGATGCCCTGATATTATGTATATTTACAGATACTTTATACAACAAATCATGCTCTGTTTTTCAGTAGGACCCCCTGCTTGATTCAGTGATAAGGTTTTATAGATGTTTTCCATTACAGAACTTGTTTAATGAACACTGAACAAGCCAAGGCAGACCATACAGGTTAAGAAACCCCAAATACCTCCCTCCAAATATCCCTGTCCAAAACCAAAACAAACAAAAAACAAACAACCAAAACCACCCAACAGCAGTGAGGGGAGAACTCAAAACCACACAAACCAGTATTTACACTCTCCAACAAAAAGCTTGGAGGCAACGTGTTTGCCAGTAAGTAAATATTGCCAGTTTAAGGAGAGAAAATGAGCATAAGAACTTGCAAAATTTTTGTGCTATGGCCAAAGTTCTTCAAGCATCTTTCTCCTGCTAAAGCCCTGTCACTGAGAGAAGCAACCATCTCAGAAACAGTCTGTGACACAGAAGGGCACTGCAAACTAGGGAAAGCACAGAGAAATTATGTGCTAACACCAGAGAAAACTGCAGAGCAGCTGACACCCTGGGCTTTTGAGAAGGACAGTTTGGAGGAGCGAAACAAAAGGGAACTAAGGTTGTTGGCAGGTTCTATCTTTAGAAAATAGTCCATCGAGTTTAGCCATGCCATTTTATTTGTTTCTCACCCTGATAAATATATTTCCCTTCCCTCACCTCCCACCCCAAACTTTTGTGCTCACTGATTTACCTATTATTTTTGTACTTCTTTGGCCCTCTCTTATTTGCCTCTCTGTTTTTAGTTGTAGAAAAAGAAATAAAATCTCTCATTTGCAAACACCTTTGGAGAATACAGGAACAGTAGCTGCTGTCAGGCTAAGTGCTAATTCTGTGAAGTTCTTCACACAGGTATGTGAAGAAGTAGCAGTGGATGTGTGAAATTGAGGGTTTGCATGACCCCGGGTTAACATATTTACAATTCTTACTCTCACACAAAGCAAAGTTGCTATCAATAAGCAAAAAGCCACTGCACAAGGGTCTTAAAGACTCAGAGGGTAGGACTCAGGACACTTGGAACTTCAACAGAAAAGAAACAACACACTTCAATCACTTATCTTTTAGGTAGCAATTCAGATAATTTTTTTTTACAACTGTCATTTTCTTTATTATGACCACAATAAAGTGACCTCACTCTAGAAAAACAGTTAACCTCCTGAGGGTATAGTAAATACCTCACCTAATTCAAATCTAAACATAAATGATCAATGTCACCTAACCTGCAGGCAGAGCCACCTGGCCATTCCATTCTCCTGAGAAATCTCAGCTATTCTGGAGGGATTCTGTAAAGAGAAGGAGCTCTCTTGGGACTGTCTTGTAAGATCAGGACCTGTAGCCTTCCTAAACTGCTATTTTAACAACCAAATAAGGAAAAGTACTACCTTTTATACAAAAATTGCACATAAGAAGAAAAGAAAATGAAAAAACAAGCAAAATCATGCTGGGTCCAGCAAGTTATATTACAGTTGAGAATAGCAGCAAGATGGTGCAGAAACTGAACATCAGCAATACAAACCCCAGAGGGAAAAGTAAATAAAAATGCTAGGGATGAACAGTACAGGATACTGGCTCACCCTACAAACCTACAGATACTGAGGTCAGTTTCTTCAATTACGCATGTGGGAACCAAAGCCTCAACAAAGGAAAACAAGCCTGAGATAAGAATCAGTATTAACTGAGGAAAAGAATGATAAAATGCTTCAAGGGAAATGAGAAATTGAAAGTGGAAAAACGTTTTAAAAAAACTGGGAGAAGCAGAAGGTAAGGTAAGTATTTTTCCCCTCAGGTTTGTAGAAGAGCAGCAGAGTTAAAAATATGCAGTCTTACTTCTCTACATACACAATTTTCTTCACAAACATAAAGAAATTGGAGTTGGAAGAACAATTTGCCACCTGGAGACAATGTTTCTTTAAGAAAGAACAATAATGAATCCATCACAGTATCAATGTGAACTAAAGTATATGTATACCCAGAGCAAGGAAGACAGTCTGCTTCAAGCAGCTTAAAGGCAAAAGAAGAAAATGCCCATAAAACTTTATCAACTCACAGGAACTGGGTAGCCAGAGTACAAATGTAAATTCCTTTTGCATGGCCATGCTAACCCTCAAAAGCATTGGTCACCATGCACAAACCAACAAGCAGCACAATGAAGACTTGTATCAACATACGGGATATTTCATTACAATCACAGGCTTGGAAAAATTGGCACAGAGCACATAACAGGAAGGTAAATACCCTGAGATTTCATTCCATTCCTTTGCTGAAACACTCCTGTTCTTGCCACTCAGAATTTCATTCCAAAAGCACCATGACAAAGATGGTGACTCAGCCTGGATTGTACTAGAACATTCAGACTATTGAGGAGGCTTTTTAAACACTGAACATATTTTGGAGGTGCTGATTAGAACCACAACAGATGTACAAACACTGCCAAATGACACAGGCATCTAGAAATCAGAGGACTTATGCTGAGGGCTGGCTACTGCAAAGCAAACATTTGCCCCAGGCATATGTGGCACTTTCTTACTGGCACAGGGCAGGTATCAAAACTGGTTGTGACAGTTTTGAGACAGCAAAACATGTGGACAAGAATATGTCCACGAGCATATACATATGCCAAAACAAAGCAAATATGCTTTGAGCATACAGGCAAATTCAGTATTTCTACTGCTACCTCTCTTTGATTCACTGCTCAACTCCCACACTGTCTGACATCAGTTCCAGCCTTCTCAGTACTGCACACATGATTTTGTTCATAAGCTGTCATGCTACACACTAGAATGAGATAAAACTATTTTTACCATCATTTTGATTCCAAAGATTCTCCAAAAACTCACTGTCCCTGTTAAACATCTCCTCCTAAATCTCCATTCTCTTAGAAACATAATGCTTTATCTTAAGCATCTCTTTCACCCTGTTCCTGATAAATTTGTAGACCACAAGTCTTCAATCTTCATTATTATCTTTGCAATCCATCCCTGAAGCCAGCTGGACTTAACTTATTCCGAGCACAAGGATCAGACAAGCTGATGATTTCAGGAAGTGTGATATACACTCCCATAGCTGAACTGGATGGCTGATGCAAGCTAGGATATCTTTGAGGTTTTTCATAACAAAAATGGTTGCAAACCACACTGGGGTTATGCCCTAATGGGACACCTAAGACCCTACAAGCTCAAGCAGAAAGTTTTGGTTTACTGTGCTTCCTTACATTTCACCATAGATGGATGATCATCAAGAAGGATTCTGCCATGAAAAAGTGCCATCCTCACGCTCCTGTTTTTCATGTCAAGATCATTCATGAAAATATTAAGCCAGTCAGTGGCAAAAGGCATCCCCGAGGATTTTCACAATCAATATTGTTCCTTTTGCTATCTCAGAGTCAATGACAAGAAGCAGTCCTGAACTGACAACAGAATCTGGCTGAAGCAAAGGTCAGTAATCCTGGATGGTTTTTCCTAAAACAAGGGAAACTGGCATACACAGGAAAGGATGGTGCCAGCTCAGTATTTTTCCTGCAAAATTGTATTCACATAGCAGGGGGTACAGGGTGGAGGGTGCTATCCACGCAACAAAATACATGCCATGCTCTGAGGGAGTAATCAAGTCCAGCAAGGAATTAAACTAATCCTACAGAGAGAAAACTGTGCAAGAGCTCAGAGAAATCTTTTAAGACCGACAAATTAGTCTAGAAACACTTCTGGAAAGAGACCAAAGATTATCTCCTTGAAATTCCATACAAGGCAAGACTGGAAGCATAGCTGGAAGGCAGAGAACATTCCAGCCAACATCTTTCCTCGAAATGCAAACACAGCAGTTGACAGGAACGTGTGGAGTGAAGCATTTGCAACGAGCCAGACTCAGGAGTGATACAGAATACAGGCCAAGCATGATCTTCTCTCAGTTAAAACTGCTTTCAAGTGACTTGGAGATCATAAGGATTACACCAGACTAACTAGCTTAGAACCTTACATAAAGTGTAGAAACTTGCCACTAGAGGGTGGGGAAAAAAACTCTTTTTGTTTTCAAAATCTCACAGCTTTGAATATAATCATACCACTTCTTTAATAGCTTTTCTGCATAATTACTAAAAAAAAAAAAAAATGTATGAAGGCCTCTTCTCACAGCAAACTTCTTACCTAGAATTTAATAGGAACAGCAGTGGTTACAAATGAAAATTACTTAATGATATTTATATAGTTTCAAAGAGTATTAAAGGTTCAAATAAAGCATTTATGCAAGAAGGTAGAATTGACTAAAAGCCTTACAAATATCATAATTCAGCAACATTATTTATCCACCCTGATTACACGCACAGTATAGTCCATGATTTAACACATGGAAATAGGTAATAAACCCAGAAGTTCCTTTTGTACTGACAATGACAAAAATACAGCTTCAAGATGGAACTTACATTCAGGTTTTACTGAGGAGCATTTTATTTTCATAAAGTATTTTTCAGAAACACAAGAATGATAACTTTCGAGCATGATGTGTGCATCTGAAAGTGACCAACTCACTTGGAATTATTATGGTGAATGTTGCAAGCCCGAGCCATTAGCACCACAATCATTGGTCGAAAGGCCTTTCCCTTCCCATCAAAGTAATAATCACACATTTCCTTAAGTTCTGCTGCAGAGACCAGCAATTCCTATAAAAAGGACAAGAGCATTTTAGCACAGAAGTCACAAAGTCAGCCCATTTGGTGTAGGTAAAACAGTATGCATGTATAACTTTATTGTTTGCATTCATTCCACCCAGTGTAAGCTCAAGTTGTTTTTAAAATTACTATGAGTAAAATGAAGTGTAAATTATGCATTCCAGCACTGCAAATCAGGAGAAAAAATTGCATTCTGGTTCTATAAAGTATAAGAAATGTTCCATTTACCTTCAGTTTAATTTTCAGCTGTTCATAAACATACATAACATCATTTAAATAAATATTCTCCAAACTGATGGCTGCTATTAAAAACAATCATCATGACATTCCAGCATAGCCACCAAAATCCCTTACCTTTTTAATATCTTCATAGAGATTCTTCAAGTCTTTCCTACCAAGTTGAAAAGGGTCTTGGTATTTTTCATCACTAATTGTCTTACTGCAGCTGCACCAGTGGGATATACTTGTATGCTGAAACCTGGTGACAGTGTTTTTCAAGAGAGTAGTCTTGTTAGAGGTCAAGTTCCCCTGATTCCCCATACAGAAACATCTGAAAGGATTTCTTTCTCTTCCTCTCCCCTCACACCACATTTAACCAAACGGCTAAAATATATTAAGACACCAAACCACTCTTTTTCAGACAGACAGTAAGGTGCAAGGACAGAAAAGCTGTGTATTGATGATAATAAACCTTTGGAACCTGGCAAAGTGCATTTGGCAAACACACACACACGCTGCCCTTAACAGATCCCAGACCTGAGACACAGAACACTACCTTGCTCTTGATCTATTCCTTTTGAATACACTATGGATACTGTAGCCTACATTTGGAGATAATGCCTACAGGTCTGGCAACCCAACTATTCTGTTTCTTCCCTCTCATGTAAACTCCTGAAAAAAATCTTCCTGATTTAGATTTGGTATTTTTCCTTTGCATACCCAGCTACATAATAAATTAAATCAATACTTCCAGGTAGGGTGATGATACTAGGAAAGTTCATCAGGAAAGGGTAAAAGCTCCACCTGGATGCAGTAAGATGCATCTAGTTTAGAAGATTTGTTTGTTTGTTTCCTGGATTCCAAGTTTCTTTTTCTTCTAATGTTTCCTTTACCAAAATGAACAGTATGTATTTTCTTGCAACATTCTTGCTTTGCCCATTACTCTCCAGGATAGACGACTGAGATTCAGACTGAGCACTACAGCAGCTTACACTGGAGTAAATGACCTTATTTTCAAAGTTTACAGCTCAGAAGTGTAACTACCCAGTTCACCCAATAACTATGTCCTTACCACAACACAACAATGTGAATCTCCAACTTACCGCCAAAATATACTACATATTTTTGGAAACGAGAAAGTTGAACTTCTTTGGGTAATGTGACATATCTGCACAAAATAAAACCAGGGAAAGTTTATTAGAACTTTAAACTGACAGAAAACATTTGAGTACAAAAAAAATGTATCCATCACCATTGGTCTATTTCTCCATTTTAACAACCCAGCAGCAAAGGGAGTCTCATAACCACTTCCACACCACGAGAGACATGAGTGCACACTTCATTAGATGCACTGAACTGACTCTTCTACTCTGGAGCATTGGACTTTCTCCCCTTGCAGGCCCAGCCCAGGAGGCTTATCAATTAAATTAACAAAGCTGCTCCAATAAAACCTTGCTTTTGCACTTGAGCAAGGTACAATTTTCAAATATTTCCTGCCTGGCAGATAAATCTGGACTGCACCAGTCAAGGCACAGAGAAAAAGACGAGCTGCTTCAGTAAACTAATAGAAAATCATATCCTTGTTTTCCCCTGAAGCAATTTCAATTCAGCCTGCTGTTAATAATTTACACCTGCCCATCTTCCCTGCTAGATGTCCAGAATTTAACTTCCAAATCTAGCAATCTCTCCAATGATCCCTCCCTGCAGACAGAGCCCAGGAGCTTGGGGGAAGGAAGGCACAGTCCCAGGTCCATGATTCCAGCAGACACAGGCTGAGGAAGGAAGCACAGCTTTTACTCTGCTCCTGGGAGTGCTGCCAGGAAGTACCGAGCCCTGCCCAATGCTGGGCTGAGCCAACCCAAAATCACTGCAATCCACGTGTTCGCCGAACTGCCTCTGGAAAAACTCACAGAAACATTCAAGGAGACCTGCTGCTCGTGCCTCCGCGTCTCCTCATCCGCGGATTAAAGTAAAGTCTCTCTCTCCTTGGACAGTGGGAGACAAACAAAAGCACTGTAATGGCTCAAGGGCACTCTTCCATCCTCCCTGCCTACACAGGGCCATGCAAGGATACAAAGGAAGGTGAGGAGCCCAAACTTATCACAGATCTACAATCCATTGGTGTCTGACTTCAGTGTCCAGCACTATGGCTGAGACATTCCCAAGTCGCTCTCTCGGACCTCTCACCGCGTTCTGTTGCTAAAAATAGCTGATGTCTCCCTGCTCTTCCAACAGAGCGGGCACGCACGGACTCCCTCCTTCACATGCAGCCTGAGCCTCGAACAGCGGCTGCTGCGGGATGCTGGACGCGTTCGCCAGAGCACCTTCCCTGTCCCGGGCCAGGACAGCCAGAGCACCTCAGCCAGGCTCACAGCCGCAGCCCGGCCTTGTGAAGAAGCTCCAAACTGCCCCCATTACCACTCACAGCGCTATCACACAAACGCCTTCAAAATCTCACACTGAGAACCACTTCCCCTGCTCCCACCTAGGGCCGGCTCCGAGAGCCTCACACACTGACAGCGCTGAAAACCCCTAATCCGGAATTTAACCTCGCACCGAGCGCGCTCCTGCCCGCAGCAGGACCCCCCGGCACGGAGCTACTCCCGCCGGGGGCTCGGCACGCCGGGGCTCGGACCGCGGGGGGCTCGGACCGCCGGGGGCTCGGACCGCCGGGGCTCGGACCGCCGGGGCTCGGCACGCCGGGGCTCGGACCGCCGGGGCTCGGCACGCCGGGGCTCGGACCGCCGGGGCTCGGACCGCGGGGGGCTCGGACCGCCGGGGGCTCGGACCGCCGGGGCTCGGACCGCCGGGGCTCGGCACGCCGGGGGCTCGGACCGCCGGGGGCTCGGCACGCCGGGGGCTCGGACCGCCGGGGCTCGGCACGCCGGGGCTCGGACCGCCGAGGCTCGGCACGCCGGGGCTCGGCACGCCGGGGCTCGGACCGCCGGGGCTCGGACCGCCGAGGCTCGGCACGCCGGGGCTCGGCACGCCGGGGGCTCGGACCGCCGGGGCTCGGCGGCCGCGGTGCCCGCCCGGCCCGGCGCCGCCGCCCCATTCATTGCGCGCCCGCCCGCGCCGCCGCACTCACCGCGCTGGGGGCCGGCGGGGCGCGGGGGCCGGGGCTCGGCACGGAGCCCAGCGGCGGCGCCCGGCGGCACCAGGCGCCGCTCCGCCACCACCACCGCAAGGCCATGGTGTCCCCCAGCCCCGCCGCGCCGGCACCGCCTCCCGGCACCGCCGCGACCCGGACGCGGAAGCCCCGCGCCGCCGCCGCCGCCCTCCGGCCCGGTGCCGGGCGGGCAGCCCGACGCCCTCTTGGAGGGCGGGAGAGCTCAGGGCGGGTTCGTGGGTGGCTCTGAAGCCGAGGTCTGGGGACATGTGGCGGCGCCCCTGGCTGCCCGCCTGCCTGGCCTGGGGCTGCGTGGCCGCGCTGTGCGGCTCCCGCGGGCTCTGCCCGGCCCCGAACGCCTCCAGCCCCGCGCCGGGCCAGTGCCCGCGGCGCCGGGCGGCGGAGCTCTGCGCCTGGGCCCTGTCCTCCGACAGCCTCCTAGGTACGGCCTGCCCGGGCCCGGGCTCTGTACTGCTGTCCTGCCCGGGCCCGGGCTCTGTAAACCTGTCCTGCCCTGGCCCGGGCTCTGTAAACCTGTCCTGCCCTGGCCCGGGCTCAGTACTGCTGTCCTGCCCTGTCCCGGGGCTCTGTACTGCTGTCCTGCCCGGGCCCGGGGCTCTGTACTGCTGTCCTGCCCTGTCCCGGGGCTCTGTACTGCTGTCCTGCCCTGGCCCGGGCTCTGTACTCCTGTCCTGCCCTGGCCCGGGCTCTGTATTCCTGTCCTGCCCTGGCCCGGGGCTCTGTACTGCTGTCCTGCCCTGGCCCGGGCTCTGTACTGCTGTCCTGCCCTGGCCCGGGCTCTGTA